ACTAATACTTGACAAATTTCGTAACTACATGTAATTTCACCCTGCGACGCAGATCCTGTCCCACAATCCTTTTCAATTCAATACCACTTCCCTACTCAGACACAGTCCGTTACCTTTGCTTCCTTCTAGACAAAAGACTAACTTGGAACCCACATATGAAACTTAAAAGATAAGAAATTAACCAACGATATGGCTAGCTATATAGACTACTAAGCAGGACATCTCATCTTTCGATTGAAAATAAACTTTTAATCTACAAGACAATACTGAAACCTATCTGGACCTACGGATTTGAACTGTGGGGAACTGCTAAACCTTCGAATATCAAACGCATCCAATCCTTCCAGTCCAAAGTTCTTAGAACAAAAGCCAATGCCCCATATTGTCACAAACCTTACACCGTGACCTTAACATCCCATTTGTTCTCGACATCATCCCGTCCAGATTCTCAAACTTTCACCAGAATCTTATTCATTTTCCAAATCCCATAGCTCAATCCCTATCCAGCTCCCACCATCCCTACAATCCTTCTCGAAGGTTAAAACGGCAGTGGCCGAGAGATCTTAAATATGATTCTGGAGTCCTGGCAATAGCCCAGCAACAGTGGCTGATTGTATTATTATTCAATATAAAAAAAAAAAAAACTATATGTAAGGAATTGGTATAACCAATATATTTTTGCAATTAACTCTTCCAAATTGTTATTCGGGCTTAGTTAGGTTTCCCCATTTCTGAAAAATTACAGTAATATCTCTATAATTATAGGCTAATAGGTAACTGCAAGACTGTTGCGAGACTCTTGCACAGGACCAAGACTAAGACTCGTCTTGGTCTCGAGTTTGGGCAACACTAACTGTAGTCCTTAGACCACTGTATAGAATCTTCTACGAATACCGCACAATATCTTACAATCACAGGCATAAAACAATGCAAAAGAAGAAAATAATAATAGATCAGTTCGTTTATAATATCAATCGTTATTCTAACATTACTTCGAAAGATATAAATCTAAATTCCAGCCAATGTATTGTGGAAAGATAATGAAAATTATATATTAGGTCTTTTTCTAACAAGGTCATCGAATCGATCCCATTGGCTAATAAAAGAAATCTAAAGGATGTAAGGGTGATGAAATCATGAAAACGTTTTCCCGCGGTAGGAGGAAGCGAGTTAATATCGACTTCATCATTAAAAGTACATTTAATCATTGTTATCTAGTTCTACTCTCATTTATCAATGAAAAATATTTGTTGATATCATAGTTATAAATCATGAGAAAAAAATATATTTGTCAAGGACTTATATGTAATATATAAAACGGTTTTAATTTTCTTAAAAGTTTATTAAATTTATTATTGAACATAAATATAATCCAGACAATTATTACCATATCTTTATATAGGTGAGAAGGATTCTTCAAAGTTTCCCGCTTGGTAATCCGTTGGGATGCTGATTTATCGCGCATCCAGCCCCTTCTTCTTGTTTGGACCAAGGAGGAGCGACTCGCTGATAAACGGTCCCGTGCAAGATGTTAATATCTCCGAGGGCGGAAGTCTTGGAGGGCTCGCCGCGGTGTCTCACGCGCACCACATTTTTCAACGGCCATCTAAGCCTAGCTTTTAGAAGCATCTAACCGCCGCGAGTGTTATGCTAATGGAAATTTATCGCCGTACTTTTCTCAGATATTTCTTTCACCAGGCGCTCGCCCAGTTCCCAGCACGACTCTTTGGCGAACGGGATCCCAGATACATGACTATGTAATATCTCTCCTAGAGAAATATGTCCAATTTAAATGGAGCGTTCGGCGGCGCGGAGCGATTACCATCTAGAATGGAATGGCATTACAGACAAGTTTATCGAAAGTTGGGCAGAACCTAAAGAGTTAATAACCCCTCTCTTAGTTCTTCGAAAAGGTTAAGGCTCTAAGTTGTACTTGATATATTCTAGAGATTTTCGCCGAGATGTATACTCCGTGGTATAGACCCCTTTTTATCAACGTATTAACACTCGTCTAAAATCTCGTGAGTGGCTTCAATTGATCATAGCCTTCAAATAAAATTCTCAGGAATAGGGTATATATTATTAAATATAATTTTTTTTTACTTCAAATATGTATCCGGTCCTGTCATGGTATTGACAATTAGCAAATTTGTTGTGATTAATAATGCTTGACATTACAGGCGTGAGAAAGGATAGCACCCAGCAGCACCTCTTCCTGGTCATTATTTACTTCCGTGATTTAGGTGAAGAGATCTCTCACCCAGCTCTTTCTAGTCTCCTCCTGATGGGCATGTCAGTTGTGGCCATGACGTTTATTAGTCTCTTTGGGTCTCCGTGTAGTTTGAGATGAAAACGAGAGTAGAGAGTACGTATGTGTTGGTCTACAGTTGGTTCTTGTGAGTAGATAAGTAAAGGCTTCTTGTTTACGTACCCGTGAGCTCCTGTTATAAATCGTAAAATTTTGGATTGAAATGACTGTAGTTTTTGTAAGTGCATATTTTTGCCGAATCGTAAGATAGATAATATATTAAATGAACTATTAAAAATTCGTGAATGGCCATTTTCTTCCCACCTGATCGTCAGATAAAATTATCGAAAATCGAGAAAAAAGATGACATACAAAAATATCTGGCTGTTCGGCTTATAACCTGTTTATTTTGACATGTTGGCTGTGGAGATCACGATATAATATTTTGCAGGCTACATTTTTCTCAATTTGAACAAAATATCTTAAGATTAAAGTGGAAAGCGAAGAGTTGTTAGATCCTCATAAAACTGACAATGTTTACTAGTTTTCAGATTGAAAACCACCCATTTCTCAGAATTTTCGTAAAGAAAAAAAGATGTAGGTTGCGATAAAATGAAGCTACAAAGTTAATAACTTGATAAAAAGAAGTTTGTATAGCAGACTATAATATTTGAAAATATTGTAGGAATGATCTTAAAAATGCAGAAGTAATAAATCTTAGTTTATGCATAAAGTACTGTAGATAGACCCCACAGATTTAAACATAATTGCATTTTTAACATAATAGATATTTATTATTCAACTAGCTGTACCCGGCCACGCGTTGCTGTGGCTGATTCTAGTTAAATACAAAAAGAAGTAGAAAAGAAATTATATGTTTCTAATATATTTTATGTAACAATACTTGGGAATTTGCAATATTCTGTATTGTTCCATTCTTTGTGTAGAAATAGAGAATGTCAGATTTTCCAACTCTAGAATTAGCAACATATAATTGTCTATATAAGAAGCAATCGGTCTCTAAATTTTCCACGAAAAATTACTAAATGTTTAAAGCATTATATCTCTGCACCAAATCATCCGATTTTAGTGATTTTTTTTTATTTGCAGGGAATCAAGAAAGCTTTCATATTATGATGGTACACTATAATCAAACAACATAGTGTACTTCTTGAGTTATTCGCAAAAATAGTTTTGAACCCATTGTAACTTTTTTTTCATATTCTTTTCGGGGAAGGATGTTATATACATAAATTAAAAGGGATTCAAGGAGAAGACTTTAGCCAAGTCTATAGCGACACAGGTTTTCGGGTCGCCATTCCGAAACGAAAGATCGGAGGGTGATTAAATGTGTATAAAAACACTCCTGAATGCGAAAGAAACATGTCAATATTTCAAAGGGATCGGTGAAGATGTTTCGGATATTAGCGGTTTTGAACAAACGAACATTTACGTTTTTATTTATTTATTCAATTAACAATTGTATTTGTTAATAAAGCTATTTATCTTCAACGAAAATCACGAGGACTACTTGAGTCATTTTGGATTTATTACAGTTAACTTATATGTGATTTGAGTACTATATTTCCAAAGTGAACCGTAATCACCACTGATGTTTTTGAATTAAAAAATATTTAAACTTAAATAAAACCTCTGTTGTAAATAAATAAAATTCAAGGCACGTTTTGGAACAAAAATAATGTTTATTGAGTTTCGTTTCGAAAGAGAAAATTGTGTATGATTGGAAAGAGAAAAAGTTATAAACATTGTACTATAAAATATTAATTTATTGTTTACAATGTAACAATATTATTTTAAACATTAATTTGAACAAAATGGAAAAAATGCCAGCTACTTAGCCAAGATTTCATATATTTGTGTGACCAAATTTGTTCACTTTTCACTATTAACGATAATGCAAACAATTTGAAAATGAAAATATTGAAGATTCACGCGCGATCTTTAAATGGACAGTATTTTCAAGTCCTAAGCTTCCGTTAACGCAATTGTGATAGCAGTGGCACAGATCTCCTGCAATTATCATGTTATTAGCATCCGTCTAAAGCTTCCTGAATGGTTTCGTCTTATCGTATTCTACAATTTTTTTATCTACGAAAATTCTCGGAATGAGGAGTTTTCTCATTAAATCAAATAACTTAATGAGGTACTAAAATCTCATCAATACCGATTTCCTTTCCACTTGTGTGTGATCGTGGAAGAGATCAATCAAAAAGTTGAGAAAATAGTGGCCTTCAAAAATATTGGGATGTTTGGCCTTCATTACTTTTTGGTATGTTTGAGGTGGAGTTCACGCCAAACGGTCCAATATTATTTTTTTCTTAATTTTTGGATCAAATTATCTTGCGTCAAACTAGAAAACAAATGTGGTGTACATAAGTTTTTAGTACCTCATTAAATACTGGATCGTTTGATGTGATAAATGACTTGCTACCCTAGTACTTGGATATCCAAATGTTATCAGATACTGCGACAGACTTCGACTATAACATGAACCAATTAGCCCAAGCATTTAGCTCGGCGAACACGCACATTCCATCCCAACTACTTTTAAAGCGACGGCCAAGAACCTTTCTACCCAGAAATGAGTAAAGATTTCTAGATTTGTAGTTGTCAAATTTCAAATCTGCCAATTTAAATAATTATAATAATAATTTTAATAATTGTATAAAGAATAAGAAATTATAAATCAACTATAACCAGGTATAAATGAGTTGCAAGTTTGTTAACGAACCTTTGACAGAGAGAGAAGCGAACTGGGTGTCGGTGGTGACCCTGTTGGTCACGGTGACCACATACTTGCCCGAATCATCGGTGGTCACGGGGTCGATGATGACGGAGGACACCCCGTCGCTGTTGGTCAGAGTGATCCGGCCGCCACCGCTGAGTCGCCGTCCCTGTGGGTAGAAACAACATTACATCCATAACACATTATTCTAATGGATTATACAGTAAAAAACAATGTCATTCTTACGAGAGGCACCATTCCAGAAATAAAATAATTAATATTAGTCATGGTGCCAAATATACAACAAGAATAAAAAAAATACATATCAGCCACAAATCTTTGATGTTTTCTGCACCGCGGCTGTAAAGGAAAAGGTAACTAATCCTTGTTTTAGGACAGATTTAAGATCGTGACCAATGTTTTTAAATGATGATAAGTTTCATGAAACCTATAAACCAAAGTTTATCCTGGAAGAGCTGCCTCTGAACTTCTTCCTCTTCCTTTTCCTCGGTCATCAACTTCCTATGATCATCTTCATATTACAATACTATGCTGGAATTTCCTAATGTTCTCTTTATCATAGATTTGTGTATATTCCTTTCATTATCTTATCTGATCTGACTACTCTTTTGGCAACATTTCTGTCACTAACATACTAATTCTAGCGAAACCTAATTTTTTTCTACTATATGTTTTCTTGAGCTTCACATACCTTTTAACATCATTATTCCACCATTTCATTTCTTAGTGGAGAGTTTTATTGTCTGAGGTTTTTCTTTCTCCTTTCCTTCTGAAAGTGACTTGAAGCATTGTTTGACGCTTGTATTGTATTCTTGTTTATTTTTCATTTTTCAATGCAGGTGATGAGGGCTGGGGATTAATGCCAGAGTTATAAGTCCCTCCGGCACCGGGAAGCGAACTCTCGGAGGAACTTAATTATTTTGCTGTCTATAACTTGGGTTATCACATTGCCGTTGCTCGCTCGGCCACCCTGCCGCTATATCAATCCAATTATATGGTTTAGTGAATCTCTTTCTGAGCAAATAATTTTAGTACAAGCTGTGAATAGCTTGTGATCTGTGCTTTATTCCACAATTCTTATGATTTTAATGTTTGTGAAAACCTTTCAAGATCCTAGTCAATTAAAAATAATCAATACGTTTCACCCTATGGCTCATCCTCCTTTAGTTTTATATATAATTTGTGGATCAGCTTATAATTGATCCAAGTGTTGCCTATTATTTTCTTTACAGAGTTTGTTAGCTGTTGATTGTTATTGTTAAAGCATATTATAATATTCCCAGACACCCATTACTTTATGCATATTAATTTCATCATCCCTGATGTCGTTGCAGATTTTTAACATTCTGTTTTGTTCTCTGCAGTATCTAGTGTCCACTTAGCAGTATCCCACTAGAGGTCTTCATAGAGCTCGGCCTTGTCAAGCCAATTTGTGCATACACCAATATAAAAATGACTTTACAGAATGACAACTCCTTTCTGATGCATTAATCTTAGTTGAAATTGATGGCCAGGATTCAATTATTTTTTACAACTTATCGCTTATTATAAAATTAACTATTTTTGCTCTTTTATCACTCTCAACATATATATCATCCTGATCAGCTATTGCACATATACATCTTCATTTCTTCAACTAGCTCTTTTTCCTAATCTGTAAATTATTTCAAATTTTACGAATTGAGACTTAGGTCTGTTCCCACTTTGTCTGTAATCTTAGACTGTCCCAAAACCGAGACTGAATTATTCACTTTTTATAAATTAAGGTACTATTCCACCAACATTTTATTTATTTTTTATTTTATCTTGACAACGTTTCGGCGAACAGTAGCGCCCTTTTGAAGTCTGGAAAAACTTTTTCATTATTAGACAACAATTTAATTGCATTTAAAATAAAAGATTAATTTTATTTTATATAATTAGTTAATCTTCTGATTTTGTTTATAGATTTATACTTTATATCAATTATACTTTTTTAATTGCCTACCATGTAACTTTTACACATTTATATAAATTTCATTGTTACCTTAATTGGGTCCTCTAATGTAATATCCATATTCAATATAATTATTTTTAATCTGAGAAGAATTAAATCTTAGTATTTTAGAATTATTGAAGGTACTTAGTCGACTGTTCTTCATATCATGGGTAATAAATATTCAGGAAGAAGTCATTATAAGATTTTTATTAGTGCCGACGTTTCATTTGCACTTGAATATTTTCAGTGCTCGAACCACGCCCAGACGTTGACAACGTCATGTTAGGGTTGAAACGTCGGCACTAATAAAAACCTTATAATGACTGCGTCCTGAGTATTTATTAGCCTTAATACTTTAGGGTTTCCCCTTCGTCATCAATAGAGGGACTTTTATGTCATCCTGGTGGTGATGGTTAAAGGGAGGAATTTTTACTCTATTATTTTGTAATGGCTTATTGTTTTGTCTAAGTTAAGATTTGAATTTTTCTTTTAATATAATTATTATATTATATCCAAATATTGTTTCTTAGATTAGCGTAGAATGTATTTATTAACTAATTATGTAAAATCAAATTAATCTTTTGATTGTAAATGTAATTTAATTGTAATGAAATAATGACAAAAATTTTGCAGACTTGAAAATGGCCCTAGTGTTAGCCGAAACGTTGTAAAGACAAAGTAAAATTTTGGTGGAATATGGACTTAATTTATAAAAATGAAAACCTCAACCATCACCAAAATTAGGAATATTGAACAGAATAGAGACTGAGTTAGTTGCTTCGAATCAATCTTACCTCATATCGGTGCTTGGTCTAATGGTGGATGGAGGAATTTCATCCAGAGACGCGTTTCCAGCTTGTATGCAGCGCCTCTTGATAGGCTGTCTTTAATATGGCTGAAGAGCTCGCCTGCTGATTTTCATTCTTTGATCCTTCCTTCCAATTCCTAACATCTTCAGCTTAACGCCAAAACTTTATAGTTTTGGATTAGAGGTGTTAAAGCTAACCCAAATGAGAGATCCTCGACTGTATCTATCGTGTTCAATTAAAATCACGATGACTTCAAACAGGATGCGGTACTTCGACAAACACGCGCTGTGCGTTATGTTTCATAAGTTTTTCAGCTATCCCCTGGTGCCAAATTGGTTAATCCAGTAGAAGGTGCTATTTCGTTTCTTTTCATTTCATATCTGAGAAGAACTATTTTTTTGGGGCATGCGCCATCTGTATGTTGACATTCACATATAATTTTGAGTAATAATTATTAACATTATAAACCAATGCATTGTTACTGTTAGAGAAAAAGGTCGCATTATTTTATTTTATTTTCCTCCCTACCTTGCCTTTAAGACAATACGGGAGTTTGCAGCAGTGACTTGATACACATTTTTGCATAACAAATCACTGTTGCATGTTTATCTTTTTACATTGCTCTGCACACAGCCTGCTTCATAATTTTTCCTCTTATTTTATCTTCCTCCATCTTCTTCTCCTGTCCTAATCAGCGACCTTCCAGCTACACTGTTTTTTTCCAATCGCTTACAAAACTTTTAAAGTGCGAGTAGTTTTGTTGAGACATCAGATAGGGTAATTGTCTTTCTGTAAAGCCCTGTATCCCTCATTAATTTGGCCCTCAATGCCTCATAGCTGATACAGACTACAAGGATGTGCTCAGCGGTTTCAGGTACTCCACAAGTGGGGCATAAGGGATCGATGTTTTTACCAAAAGGTCGTATGTAAAAATTGAGTTTTCTTAAAGTAGAATATAAAAACTGACTATTTTTTTATGATTTATAAGTATAATTTCAAATTTTATTTTCCTCTGCTATTTTCCAGTTTAGCAGATTACTTATGGCAGTTGCAGACTACAAAATGTCACCTTAACCGCAAAGAGAGTTACATACGACCTTTGGAAATGACAATAGTGATTTATTAATACTTATACCGTACCCCTTTGTACCAGACGACGGAGGGCTGGGGTATGCCGGTGTACACAGCCTGGAGTATAGCCCTTGATCCACGGAGAGCGCTGAGGTCCTGAGGTGGCCGAACCAGCTTCGCCGGCCTATCTCGGGAACTCTCACATTCTGAAACTTAAATAATTATTTTAATAGATACATTTTTTTTTTACATAAATAAAGATATACATTTGTTTTTGCTCTCTTACCACTACTAGGTAAAAAAGAAATTTGAATCGGATCAATTCGTTTACTAATAAATCTCTGAAAAGTCAGTATTAGCAATGAAAGGTCCTAAATTGATATGCTGGCGATTGGGCTATCAATTATTGATAACGTTGTATTTACAAAACGATCTAGACTGATGATGGACATAAAACAAACTGATTCATTCCGCAACATTGGGCAGGGTAAATATCGATTTAGTCACTATATTATGTTTCACTAATACATCCAAATGAGAAGTGATCCGTTTCAATCTCTGACAGATCCGGCTTTGTTATGTACGGCCCGCCGGAGTACAGATATATCTTAAGCGTTTAATCAGATATTTCAGCTGTTTTCTCAAGAGGTTTACCTTACACCAACCTAATATTTTTTATATGACTGTGTCATAAGTGATTCCAGTCATTTAAATATTTACCATACATATAAATATGTATATTTACAAATTATATCACATGTTATACAACTATAAAAGTGTTTTATATATAAGTGAAACTACGTTCATTATTCAATTATTTCGTCTTATTCTTAATTCGGATCGGCTAATTAAATATTCAAAAAATTTGAATTTTTTTTACATTCACTTACTGTAATATGAAATATGTAGTAGGGAAAATATTGCGATCGTAAAAAAATATTAATAGTTTTCAACGGAAATATATATATTTGTCTAAACTAATCCAACGATTTTGATCGAACTCCTTGCATTAATGTTCAATAAAGTGTTGTTTAATATCAGTTAGATGAAATTCTTATTGAAATAATCCCACAGGGGTTAAATAACGTATGTCTTTATTTAAAATAATTGTAATATGTTTTATCTGAAATAATTAACAATCTGACACAGGCTGATCTATGGGTAGAGGGGGGAGCTTTCGGGCTGAAGCCTCCCCTCCCCCAAAATGGTAAAATATAAGCATGTTTTATGAAAAAAAGTATCTCTAAAAGTATTATTGTTAATAGTGATTATTGTTATATTTAATGTTACTTAAAGAATCATTTAAACACCATTTCATATAGGTAGTTAGTTTCTTTCTTTCTTCCGAAGTAATTATCCTAATTTATGCATACGAAAAAAAATATTTCGGGCTGAAGCCTCCCTCCCCAAAATTAAATCCTGAATCCATTAGTGGTCATTGTTAGTTGAAATAAGAAGTTAAGAAGGAATGAAATAATTAGACAATTAACAGCTTCAATATAGGTAAATATTAATAGCTACATTTATAGCTTAAATACACGAAGATACACGAATACAATACGTAAATACACGAAGCTCAAATACGTTATTTCACTTAATCTGTTGTAAAAATATGTATACTTCCGCTGAAAACTCGGTATGGAATTAATAATAATTAAATAGTAACATATATATAACACATTGTTGGAAAGCTGAAGATTTTAGCAGAAAATAACATTTAACATATGGAGTTTTAGAATATATAAGAGAGTGGCGAAAAACTAATGATTAATAATTTTAAAAAATAATATTATGAAACTTAACCTAATGTTTCTATGAAAACTAAACAAATCGAGAATTTTAAAATTATTTAAAAGCTTGACAACTTTACTTGATATATATAATATAACATGCTATTTAAATATCTAACAAATGAGTTAGGTAACATTGTTGAAACATATAAGAAACATGTTTAATCAGAAGACGAAGTAGCATACTTCCAGGGACAATATTATAAGCTGCAGGGGTGCCCACCCTCCTCCCCCATCGTCGATGGCGCAAGAACTTCTCTCCTCTCAAGAAATTTTTTTGCTTCCCTCTTCTCAAAAACAATCGAAGCGAAAGTGGAATTAGAAAAACCGTAGATCATATACAAATACATTTGCGGTCCATCTTTTCCTCCTGGTTTCCTGATTAGAAAATTTTTACCCCGAAAAATCATAGCGCCACCAAAATGTGCCCCCCGCAAAAATTCAAAACCCCGAAAAAATGTGGCCCCTCAACAATTTTGTGGCACAGGTTGGGCCATGGAATCCCTTTCTAGGCACCCCTGATAAGCTCTACAATAATTTTTGTTCTCTTACACAAAAAGCTCAGCCGTACCTTATCATGTTAAAATAATTATCATGCAGTTACAAATTCCCAATGCTTATAGTTTCAACTTATGATTAAACAAAACTTTAATCAAATTTAATCCTAAAAATAACTATCCGATATGTAATTTCCTTGTAAACGAAGATTTACTCCATGTTTTAGCACAATGTCCAATATATGATTCAGCGCGAAGCAATATCTTACCTCAATTTTATAAAATTGAAAAAGAAATGTTTTCGTCTTTGTTTTTTTCTTTGAATACGCCCAATGAATTTAAGAAAATATACCAAATTGTTCAGTTAGTTTGTGGAATTCGTTCGCTCTGTATGGGTGATAAATTTATTGTAAAAACAAAGTAAAACTTTTTTTCACTTGTAAAAATTTTTATTTATTTTTGTGCAATCGATCCTTGATACCATGCATAAACATATGTATATAGAGAATAAAAATAAACATACTTTAGCGAAATTGTTTTTTAATTTTTGATTATGATTCTTGTTGCGACCTTCTAAGCGTCCCTCTACATGAGTCTTACCACCTGGATGTGGGAGTTTTAGTATGTTTACCTCCTTACTAGGCCAATCAATGTCCTAAAGTCAAACATTTTATCCCCGCTATTTCCGCCTGTAATCATTCATTGACTATACTAATAGCCGAGTAGTAGAGAAAATTATGTCCAGAATCACATTATCTGTTTGCTTCGACACAAGAATTCATTTTCTAATACTGCATCCTTCATTGCTTATAGTTCATTTATTTTATTTTTTACTAATTGTCCATTTGAGATCTATTGTTTATTTATGAAATATAGTTTATTTGTAATCAGGCAATAAAATCTAAACAAATGAAAATCATGTGAGAACACCTTATTCTTTAATACCTATATTCTCTATACACTTAAAATTGAACATACCTTTGACGATAACTTTGGTAGAGGTGATCTCTTCTCTGTCTCCTGAAACGACCCTGCAAGAATAGACCGTACCAGAGTCCTCAAGAAATATGTCCTTGACGACCAACCTCCGAGCACACCCAACAACTTCTTGGCTGAAGTCCTGGCAGTTGGGAAGCTTCAGACCGTTCCTCTCCCAAATCGCATCACCTGTAAACATTTCATCACCATACTTAGTGGTAGGCATCATTGCTAAGTGTATACTATCGATTAAAAAGGTGAGATAAGATATATTGAACAAACCAATAACTTAATTGAACATCAATAAAACGACGCGCTGTAAACTTTGCAGTATCCCATATTCATAATTCATATATTAAACGTATAGCAATTGAAAATAAATTACAAAATAGAAATTCAAAGTAAACGGTTATTTTAATGCCCGTTAATAATTTTAGTCCAATCAAAAACCACAAAATCACGCAATAAATCGTATAAACTTTAATGTTAATGAAGTATGGCTAAAGTAAGTGCCTAATATATTTTTTTATTTTAAAACCCATCTCATAGCAGAAAAAGCTTTCTTCTGTACAGTTGAACATACTTATTGTGTTAAGTTACAATGCCAATCATGCTTCGTTAAGCTATTTCAAAGAACTACTAAGGTTTTTTTTTACAAAGCTCTTTCCTACTTTTTATTTTCTCTTTTTTTCTGTTTCAGAGAAAAAGGGGGTGAGCTATTACAGCAGAGTACCCGCTGATGAAGAATAACATTCTGCTATGAAGAACGAATCAAGTTTTAAATGACTCAGATTTCTATAAAAAATTTCAAATATTATAATTTAATATAGGAAATTAGTTTATACTTATCAACTTAAATTAACGAATTGGTGGTGAATCAATATTTCTTAAAGGCTATATTATCTCTATTACTACATCATTTCTCATTCCTTCACAAAACAATATTCCAGGCATTGTTACTAATTATTGGAGTATTAATTTCCGTAACTTGGGACTAATAGGAACCTAGGACATTATACACAGTGGACCAGATCTCCAACCGTGCACTTCCACCAACATATTCCTATTAATTGCATATGATTTTTTTATTGCAAATATTTATTAAAAACAACAACTATAACAATGTTTCCGCATAAAAGTGGCCGCACTGTCCCAAAATGGCGTCTAAACTTGGCGGACTGATGACTTTGAGTTGAGTTAGTTTCTGATCACAGAGATTCAGCATTTGGCTCAATTTCGTCATAATTGGTCTTTTATTAAAGCTGGATAGTTAGAAAATAATAAAACATGAAAAATATTATTTTTAAAATAATAAGCTTAGGCCATAAAAAACACCAGTAAAGTAATTTTTTTTTTAAATCGTTCAAACTAAAGTTAAAAATCATGTGTCGTTTGTAATAAGCGGCCACCAATAACAAAAATGGTTCGTATTGCTGTAAGGCAAGGAGTGTCAATGAATTTCAAATAAGACATCTAAATGTAAATTGAAACCATTTTTCGTTCGCTACAAACAGCCTCAAGCAATTTTTCAAAATAAAACTGGAAATGATTTCAATTCATCCATTGAATGGAATATCTGACTCAAAATAATTTTATACAACTCTTACTTCACTATTTAGTTGTATCACATTTAATTAAGTTTCCTGTTGGAAGTAGCGAATTCAGGATTGAATTTTGAGGAGAATATATTATGCATATATGAAATAATATTTAATTGGTCCTAGAAATGTAAAAATAAGAAGTAATTACTGGAACAATTGAAATACATTTCTTATATAATTTTTCTTTATATTTAATTTAAAATGAGAATATGATGCCATTGTTTAAGTATTTTGCTTAGATTACATACAATTAAATTATAAACAATTACGGACCAATAGAAAAAAAAAAATTGTGACTGGCTATAAAAAACGTACTTCGTGTCACAAAATTACGGACAACACTCTTATATTGCCCTTTCTTTGTTTATTTGCAACCAATTAAATTGAATATTCAATATATAATACTATATGTATGCTTTTCAACAAATTATTATTACAAAACCTGAAAGGGTTTTAATAAATCCATTTTAACATCTGCTTATATTAATTGAATATAGCTACTTATAGTTCACTAGATATACTTTTATCCAATTGGAAGAGTCAAGGGAGTAATTTTAAGTAGTCTGATCAATTTTGAGAACGGGTGCCAATAGATTATCATAATTCATACCATCGACAATATGAACGCCACCGATTGTTCTATATACCATAGATAATAAATAATAAATAATCTGGGGTCTGTTTTTGAAAATAATTGTCTCCTGATCATCTAGAACATATGAATAATAATTAATATCTGTATACACATTAAATTGAGTTTTGAACTAAATCTCCTTGACAGTATTTTGAAACGATAATTCAATCGTAAGATAGTGGTTTACGACTTCATATTTTTTTAAAGAAGACAACATAAAATAAAGGACATGAATCCGTCCAAAAAAGTTAATAAAAATAAATAATAACTAAAAAAAAAACATTTATAATATATTACCTGTGCTTACTGTGACAGACAGTTCCAGTGGTTGACTTTCATGGGCTACTAGGGTGTCTGGGAGGCCTGTGGTGATAATGGTGGCTGTTTCCTCGCACATCCTGTCTCCAATAATAATAAATAAATAATAATTAATTAATAATAATAAATAACAATAAACAATAAAATTGTCTTAAACATAGAATTCTGATTCTTAGGGCATGTTACAAGATTAGTGATATTTAAAAATAATATATATTTCTTATTTACTACCCAGAATATCAAATCCATGACGACAGTTAAAAAATAAAGATATCAAATCTCTCTTAGTGAACCCTTGTCAGGAATCCATTTGAAAAAAAATTGAATTCGTTCATGTTTTTCTTAAACTTTTCTACCTCTCCTAGTCTTGTGATCATATGCAATTCACCAAAGCACTGTAGGTCGTGACGACTTGCCCGTCTCCAGAAAACCGAGACATCGAGGATCGACATGCTGGCCAAGGCCAGGAGTCTTATTTTGAAAACCGTCATACTCTGTTGGATATTGTGAAATCCAATAGTGCGGATGAATCCATTTCTTACGTAACTAAGAGTGTAATGAGAATAAGTATTTATGAGGGTATTCTCAGGTGGTTGTGGTACTCATCAACCGTTGAGTTCATTCCAAAATTCTGATCCTACTTTCCCAAAGTAGTGTCAAACATTGTAAATGTTTGGTCAAAACATTTCACTGGAGAAAGCCGAGACGTACCTTCTCCGCTTTAACCTGATCTACTTCATGTGAAGTTAATCTAAACGCTCTTTGTTAATCCAAGTGACTTTGTGCCTGGTGAGCCATTGTAGGCGTCGACGTATTCCTCTGTTACAGTGTGATGTTCGGTACAGAGATCTATGCATACTTCACTATACTTAGTAAGAAAATTTTATAAATCGTTATTGTCACTGAGTATTTGAACCAAAAGGTTCCTCTTATATAGTTCATCTTCCTTTCGACTCTGCATATTTATGCCTATTTTCCAGATAATCTAGGTGATACCGTTTTATCAAATGACCTACTAATGAATTGTGCGCCATTAATAAAAGAGAGCGTCTTTTTACCTAGTCATGGTAAGTTAACATCACAAACGGATCCAGGATTTAATTTTGGGAGGGGGACTTCAATCAGAAAGATTTTTTTTTTTGATAAATATATTAGGATAATGATTTCGGAAGAAAGAAAGAAACTAACTACCTATATGAAATGGTATTTAAATGATTGTTGAAGTCCTATTAACTGTAATTAGAAGAACAATACTTTTAAAGTATTACATGGATATATCAAAACATTTATAAAAAATAAGGCAACAACTAACATTTTCGATATACCTCGACGAAAGCTGAAAAGGCGTTGGAACTAACTACCCGTACCACTTAGATATCGTTTATAAGTTGAAGAAATGACTGGGCATTAATTATTTTAATCTGCTTCAATAAAAAAAAGTAAAATAAATTGAAAGAAAAGATTTATGGAAGGTTGTTTTGATTTGTTGGAGCTTTGTTGTTGAAGAAGGGACTATGGGAAGTTTGTTTTATTTACATCTATTTAATTAAATTTAGACAACTACTCTTCCTTCATATTTTGTTTTATTAGTCAAAAAGCAATGTTCATTATTTTCTTAACGTTTCCTGTAATTTTTCCCATCATCAACCTCTGATTAAGATTAACAATATTCAGTAATATATTCCTTATGACATAAACTAAACCTTTTATCTTTAGTATTAAAAAAATAAACAAACATTATTAAGGAATATTGCTGTTTTGTAGCAGGTTTGTCAGACATACTGAAAGTGAGAAACATTGAAAAAGATAAACGGTGTTCAACTGATAAAATAAGGAGAATAAATGATAGAAGTGCCAAGCGATACATTTACCAATCATTCTAATGGCCGAGTGGGCCAGTGGAGGATGAGAATAAAGAAATACAATGTAAATAAAATATTTTAATTAGAAAAAATAATAAACTTACCTGCAGCTCAAAATTAAAATAAATAATAGAGTTTATTTACTTAATATTATTGAGTTAAAGAATAATAAAGTTTTATCATCTGAATATTTCAGGAATGCCTCCAGCATTTCATTTGTTCCAGTATTTGTAGGTAAGATCAATTGTGTTTGCTCAATAACGTTTTAATTTTATTTGTTTTAACAGACTTAAATATTTAGATAAGGATAAGCCTGACATAGACTTCAATTGGGTGTCTCAATTTAGAGCAATAACCGAGCTTAATGCCTTTGCAGAATAGTTTTCTGTTTACCCCACAAACGGACTTCTTTGATACAAATACGAAATTCTGGAAAAAGCACACAACCATTATTTATCAGCCGTCATACAAAGAAATTTAAACTCAACTAATTACCCTTTATACAGAATCCTATGTAGTTACAACGCTCCCGATCCCGAAGCCTACCTCACATTTAAAGTTCATATAAAGAAATTGAGATGTGTTAGTCAATTAAGAGTTGTAAATACAGAAAAAATCAGAATCTATGCAAAAACCACAAGTTTTTCGATTGAGTCTCAAGAAATTTGTGTATTATGCAGTCAATTTATCTACAATAGTCTACATCACATCCTCCTTCACTGCCCAGCATACAATGAATATAGACAAAAATTCCTTCAAAACTTCATCTCAGAATCTTCTGATAACCACAACATCGAAACTATATTGAATATCGACTGTATAGATAAAGTTTACTATTATATGATGGTAGTACACAAAGTACATTCTCAAAATTGTTGATCATAGCCCATGTTCTATTAAGTGTTTGTTTTTAGTTTATGTTAAAAGTAATATTTTGTTTGTATATATACATATTTTTATTTTTATTGTTCTATCATAGTAACAGGTTCATTTAACTATCATTATGCAGCAATCGTTATATGTTTTTAATTTTTATTGTTTTTCATGCTTTGTAAAACCAATTATAAACGTAAAATATTGTAAAGTGTATTTATATTTAAGTAATATGTATGTAACTTGTAAAACCATATTATTCTACAATATCCAAGCTCGGCTCTATTTGTAAAGAGAACCCCCCCAAAACAAATAAAAATTTCTATCAATCTATCTATCTACGTTTTAATTTTATTTTACAGAAAATGAATATCATGGAAGAGGAACTATTAAAAGAGTACGTTTTACTAGATGAAGATGAATTTAGGTATTTTGTTGATCTTTATTAGTCAGTTGCTATTGTTATTCTTAAGGGATTTCGTTTTAGAAGATTTTATATATTTTATTGTAAATATATATTTTTTTTTTTTGTGAGCTTTTACTTAGAATGAATTAATTACTTTTTTAATACAAAAAATAGGATAGTTGCTAAGTTGCTAAGTAAGATCGACGTTTCGATCCCTTCCCGCACGGCGGTACCGAGATCGTATCCCGGCGGCGAAGACAGGCGCCGTCCAAAAAGGGCAGAGATAGGCTAGCGCCAAGGGCGACTCCTTATACGGTACAGTGCCACAATCCGGTCAAGGTCCCGGGTCACGCTGCCCTGTCGACATCATCGTCGCTTTACAAAGCTTTAGTCAACTTTCGGTTATTATCAGCAAGGATTCGTGATGCTTTTCCATCCATAATAATAACAATTTATTTTAGTGTTGATTTATTTTAACATCGCGCTAAACCGCCTTATCAATAAGATTCATGAAAAAAAAAAGGATTCCTTTTTCTTCCAATCTTTACAATTCATTGCGCTTTACAATAGTTGGTCCATTTCCACTTATATATCATACAAGAGACCCAGTAGCAGATTCAAGATTTATTTTGGGTCATAATTTTTTTTTTTTATTACAGGAATAGTGTAGTAATAGTACTATACTTTAACTACAGGAATGCTAGAGTAATAGTTCTATACTATTCCTGAATAAAAAAAAAATATTTTTTGCCCCAAAATAAATTTTGAATCTTCTACTGGGTCATTTGTATACTATAAGAGCGGAAATGGCCCAACTGTTGAACGCAATGAATTGTAAAGATTGGAAGATAAAGGAATCTTTTTTTTTCTTGAATCTTATGGATTAGGAGACTTATTGCAATGTTAATGTAAAGTAATGACAGACTTGTAGAGATATTAATAAATCCTCCGAAAGAATTTCTTAATATGTTTTTTTTTTTGGATGAAAATTCAAAATACATTGTAAAATCAGATTTTAACTCTGAAGAGGCGAAAGTTTGGATAAATTTAAAATAAAGTATTTTAATTATTGAGACTAAAAGCCTTTTTTTCTACTGATACTTATTAAAGCCTCTTTCCCATTATCATATTTTATGATAATTTCGGGCATTTTGTCTTAAATCATATTTTTCTTCTTTAGTAATAAAAAAAAAGGAATATTGTTTCTTTGCTACAGGTTTCTCAGACTAATACTTGAAATGAGAAACATTAAGAAATAATGATGATTGGTTTTTGACATACAAAATAAAATTTTTATAGTCCCACAATTTAATCAATTAGATAAAAAAATCCTCTCAGAAAATTTTAAAGATATAAATAAGAATTTGACATGAAATTAAGATATATATATATATGTGTATATATACATATATACCTATGAATAGGAATAGGAATCACAGGAACAGTACTGCTTTTAAGTATATTTTAAAGTTGCTTTTTTACACTTACATTTATTTTTATTTTATGTCGCTGATTTGGCCCGATCCAGGTATCAATCCTTTCATGATAAACTTCGGAACTATCTGAACCCACTTGTCCCCAGACTTGTCCCCCCCCCCCCAATTCCTAATGATCCTCCTAGGCGTCAGAAGAGAATATGGACACGGGATCTTCTTACTCAGAACTATTGTATTTAGGGAGTGCAACCACTAGGTAGAGTATATCGACAAGTCTGTCATTACTTTGTTTTGTTCAGATTTACTGGCTGTATTTTATTTAATATATTTCAATTACTAACAAACTCGATCACAGGCATCATAATTAAAAAATATAAAATATTGTAATTTTTTAAGTATTTGGCTTAGATTGCTCATATAAACAAATATGGATCAATAAAAATCAAGTCATTTTCTAATTAAATCTGTGCTACCCGCTAAATGAAAAATGGATTAAGTTAATTTCGG